ATTTTATTAGGAAATTTTCAAAAAATTTTGAAACTTTACATCCGAAAAAGTCATATCCCATGTACATTTTTGGATGTAAAATTATATGGAGTATGATTTTTTTGGACGTAAATTTTCGATTGTAAAATTTCTACAAACTTTTTTATAAGTTCAATTATGTCCCCCAACGTTAAAGTTCTGCGTCCGCCCTTGAATGCTAGTATTACTTTTTTTGCCTATGTTCTTTTGTTCCATTGTAACTAAGACAGTTGAATTGCTATTTAGGCATAGACTCTTGTCTCGGTAGGCCATAGAAAAACTCTAGAATTTCACAATTGAAATTGAAAGTATCACTGATGGTTAGGTTACATGTGTATGAAGTGTTTGATAATTTGTCTCAATGGGGGGTATTGGGCTTTGTTCAATTTTGGGAAGATACTGACATTAAGTTCAGGTGAGTTGCAAATGGGAACACACATGAGTAATACATATTGTTTACGTAAGAATAATGCGTAGTTGTTCCACAAAACATTATATTAGAAAATTGCAGTGTCAGGATATTTGCAATGTTTAGTTGCAAATGACATTGACTCATGATATGATTTGTTGTTGGAATACTACAAAGTTTCAATATGGTGATTAAGGTGTCAATAACTCCATATTAGGCATGATGATTCTCGAATGTCCAATGAATTATCATTTTTTTTACCTCTTCCTAGTAGAGCTCCAAATTTCAATAAGATTTGATTTTTATTTTTTTTAAGAATTAGGTATGAGTGTATGTTGGAACTTTGAGTTTTCAAAATTTTATAGGAGAATCACCAGTATTGTTCTTAGGTAAAAAGCAAGATCCTATTTTTATTTTTCTTTGTAGCATCTATTTGGTTATTAGTTACGCTTAATAAATGGTTTGTCACTATAAGTTGTCTTGTTCTTAAACTAAAGTTATATTATATGTTTAATTAATACAAGTAAAGCATAATCACAAAAAAGTAACATATAGAAAAAATCAACCATCCCTTGAATCTATTTTAAGAATCTGATTTGTGTTCATCACTTTTTCATTTGAAGCTATTTTGGTGTGATCAATACTTGGACCATTTTCTTGAGTGGGTATACCGTGTACCACTTTTTTGAGTGTTCTGACACTTTATAAAATTTTTGTCACTTTTTTATTTTTAATTTCTATCACCTCTTTTAGTTTCTGTCACTTTTTTGAGCGTTTATCAATTTTTTAAATTTCTGTCACTTTTTTAGTATTTGTCACTTTTTTTATTCGTCTTTTTGTTTTGTGCAAACAAAAGTAATAGAATTAATTTTAGCGTGGAAGTTACGGCCTGTTAGTAGAAATTGGAAAGCAATGTTGTTGCTGTGAATGATTATTTTTTCCTTCTACCTTCTTGAACTTAATAATATCTTATTTCTAATTCCCAGTATTTCTGATAAATTAA